TACATTGGAAAAACTCAGATATAGATTTGGAGATAACACCAATATAGACTAGTTTTACAAAAGTTAAATCAACTGAAAATTTACCTTTTAGAAGACTCCAACTTCTGTCTCAGGTCAGCAATCTCCGCTTCTGCAGCAGCTAGCCTTTGTTGGGATATGGCTTCCGCTTCATTTGCAGTCTTAACCCGCAGCTCCAGTGTTTGCTCATCAAGAGGACATTTCAAACTTTGAACATGGGCCCAAGCCTTGTATTCCAGATCCTTAGCCTCCATCAAAACCCTGCAGTTGCAAAGCAAGATTCTAAGCAGTGTAGTCTGGGAAACCCCAAAACACCCCCGACCCTCCACCCCCAACCAAACAAAGAAAAAAAAAAGCAGGTACGTGTTCCACATCCTATGACTCCACATCCCACAGTTCCCATTTAACTCAGCAGCATGAGAAGACAATGCAATGCTACAACAAATTTAGAGCTATCTGGACTGGTTTATTTTCTCTTGTGCTTTTAGTTCATGAAACTCTAAGCTTTAGTGAACTTTAAGTTCACAGAAACTAAGTCCTACCCTTAACTTAAAAAACATAGAAAAGAAGAAAAGGAGGACCAAAAGATTCTGAAATATTCAACATAAAATGTTGAAAGCTAATCAGCCACCTTACCATATTTAAGCTAACACAAATGCAAGAGAGAGAGAGAGAGAGAGAGAGAGATCCATTGTTTTTAGATATACCTTGAATCAGTGGACTCACGTCTAAACATATCCAAAATCAACTTCAACTCCGTATCACTATCCTTCAAATCTTTAGCCTACATAAATACATATTTTTTGAAATAAAGGCTACATAAATATATCAAAATACTGTAGAGTTAATAAAAGAATACTAGCATAAGCAAGAAAACTACTAGAATAAGCCCATTATAAACATTACTCTAGGTATGATCAACCTTCAATATCCAATAATAATTATTTATTCAGTGATCAGTTTTTTTGAAATATATATTTATGTTGTGATCATATTCCTCTACTTACAAACCATTAAATCAAAGTAGAGGCAATTTATCATACCGCAGCTTGCAACTTGTGTATCTGAGAAATTTGGAGAGCAGATTTTGCAGATATAGTTTCACATTCTTTTGCCTGTTCAGATAGACAAATTATCAACTGAATCCAAGACTGACTATAACTCATATGGTACACAAAGCCCACCTTCCTATTAAGAATACTGAAAAGAGACTGCACATCAGCTCGCAGTGAATGAATATCTACAGCAGCTTCTTTGTACTTACTCAACTGACCTTGCATTGCACTCATTTCCTCAGGAAATGAAGAAACTAGTGCTTTAAATTCTGAAAGAATTTCTTTCCTTCCTAAAATTCAAAATACTTCAGTCAGATTTTCCGCATGGAACCCATCAAGGAGGGATACCAGGATTGTACAAAAACCAAAGGGAAAAAACTTTTTTATTACCTGGTTCTCTTGAGGCCTCTTCCAGCTTAGCTTCAATCCTACTTCTTTCATCAATATGTTTTTGCATCTGCGATCCTAGATCAGCAATTCGGGATTCAGCAACTGCAGAAGATCTTCGAGAAACATCAAGTAAATCACTTTTCATATTCAACTCCTTTTCCCTCCAAGCAAGGTTATCTTTTTCAACCTACAATTTCCAGAAGCACTAGTCAGAACTTGAACCATATCCTTGCAAAAAAATAGTGAAGACGAAGGCATAAATGAAACTACCGACCAGTTACAACCTGTAGTTTCTCAAGTAAAGCCTGATACTGGAGGACTTCTGATTTAGACTTTTCTAGCTGATCTTTCACCAAGAGGTATGCTTGAGAAGCAGAAATACCCTCTATGTTCTTCAACTTGTTCTGTCATATCCCCATTCGATTTATATTACAGAACAAGTAGAGCTGCATTTAAGTTCTCTCTAGAAGAAAAATAAGCAAGACCTTTATAAAAAGATGAACGACGAGATATAAAAACTAACCTGAAAATTAGATAACTGTTCCAATATTTTTATCCTCTCCTCATGAAAACCTCTAAGTTCCCATAATCGACCTGAAGCTTGATCCTGTGAAACTCAAAAAAATGTTAACATTATCCGTTCCACAAGCAATTCCCAAAAAATAAACCAAAGATATAATGGGGAAAGCAGATTACCGTTAGCTCCTTCAGGGCCAGTTCCATATCTTGCACTTCTCTTTGTTTATCTCTGGCCTTATCGCCAGCAAGAGGCTTATTTCCAAGGTTTAAGACAGGGAAAAATGCTCCTTTCGTTGAATCCTTTTCTGCTTTAAGACTTGATAATTTACAATGAATTTCTTCTAATTCTGCAATCACAATCTTGAACTCCTCTACAAATATCAAATAAATAATTTTTGTGTCATCATTTATTGACCTCCCATCAACACAAAATCTATTATCTTTTGGAGCCTAGTCAGCCATTCATAAATTTAGAGAGAGTAATGTCAGAAAAAGAGAGCTCGAATGAGAACTTTAGAAAAATAAATAACAAAAATCAGAGATCTTTCGATCTCAAGAATAATTTTGAATTCTCAATAATATTTGAATTTTAATCAAATAAATCTGCCCTTAAACAGATAAAACAGCCATGTAGCACACATAGATTAAATATAAGAGAAAGAGAGACTACTGAGAATGTTTAATGATGTTCAGCAATGTATGTACGCTGTGGAATCAACTGGACCACCTTAACTATTTAGGGACTTGATCTTACAAGTACGATTTTTCTTTATATAAAGGAAGCAGAAAACTGAAAATTACAAGACTACCCATATACAAAGAAAATGCCCTGGGCTCTGAAATTGCATGCTAAACCATGGAAGAAGAAACCCCTCGACCAAACACAACCCAGCAAACCAAAAATATCCGCACAGAGATAGAAAATTATGCATAATCACTTTGGGTGTGTTTGTACAAACACCCACCACTTCATTAGGACCGTGGACTTTAATCATTCTAAATACAATTAACAACTAGGCACCAGCCTGTACATCCAAAACAGAATAATATCTAGCATAATGGGAAGCCTTCGTAAGAACCCTAGTCTAGAATAGAAACCACAAAGTACGTGGACATTAAACAATTTTCTTAAATAATTCTTTACATCATATGTTCCTAATAACATATAAAACATTATCTTTACATACTCATTTTGAAAATATTTCTTAACCCTGCAATTATTCCAGTTTAGGGCCTTCCTGCCTGCATTAGAGAGACTAGCAAAGAAGAAATAGTGCCCTCAATTGTCAAAAGAAACAAACTTTGTCTTACAGTCCAAAAAGCATACAATCAGATAATAAATGATATAGAAAAAAACAAATACTTTTAACCAAACAACATATGCCAAAAGCTAAAGTAAATTCTTAAAAAGACTATACAATGTAAAAGAAGATGTGTCAAAGTACTATGTAATAGAAAAACGTGAAGGAAAAACATCATTCAAGAAAAATTGCTAAAATGTTCTTCTAACAAAAAAGGAAGTAATATTAATCAGAAGACAAGAATATTGAGTTTGGTTCAAATTTTATCTCCAAAAGAATTGAGTTTAGTTCAAATTCCAATTCCATAGAATAGAAGTGGAAAGCACTTTTTATCTCCAAAAAAAAAAATAGAATATAAATGAAAATAAAATTGAAATATGATAGAAATTTGAATGAAATTTTCAGTCTAACTCCAAGTTAATTCCATGTATACGTCGAATTTGGTGCTTTTGTGATTCCTTACTTGACAAGTGAAAATACCAAATTTATGGTTTACAGAATTGAAGATGAGAGAACAATTAATTTTTTCATGCATCAAAACCGTAAGTTATCATTATTGTGTACATATCAAATAAATAGGATTTATGCATTGAATTGAGATGGAATTCTTTGAATCAAACAAAATGTAAGAGAAACTTATATACAAAAAAAGAATACACGTTAGATACAATCTATCTCATTAACCACCTCATGGCAGATAGACAATAGTTGAACCAAATGCTTAGGGTTGGGAGCCAGTTGTCCCTACTCCTTTGGAAAGAGGAAATTATACTATTGAAAGCACCCTACTTCCTTTCCCTCTAGATCACCAAAGACCAGCGGGATAAAGGGATATGATCCTTTTCCTTTTCTGATCAGCATCAATCCCCTCCAATGCCCAGAATTTCCCAAACTATTAGAAGGTCCAGTCTAAGTGATCCCTTCCCATGGCACCCAAATTTTTCTGTTCTTGGTCACCTCAATTTTATTTGCATAATAATCCTAACTCCACATGTCTGCACATCTTCGTAGATATGCATGACTAGTTGAATATGTAGATAAAATGTGTACTGATATTGCATGCACATTGTCAACTTGCATTTTGAACACCTAGGTCTATCTTATATGAAGCAAGACAACACATGCTTATCTTTCTGCATATATAAAGATGTAAACGTGCATATGCATGGGTAAATCCTATCATTTAAATGTTTGCAATACATACATGAGTACTGAATTTGTTCAGAGGTCAGATCAATCAAATCCTATGTTAGAAATTACCTCTTAAACATTTAAGCTTAGCTTTATTTTTTGCATTGATGACTGCTTGGTTAAAAAATTCAGTTGATAGTAATCTATGCTTCAAATGAAGATCACTTAGAGACGATCTCAACTTCTTAACTTCTGATTGTAATTCTCTCAATGCCTTCTGCCTGCATAAACCTAGTAAAGAGAGCAGTACCCACAAGAAACCAAGGGTCAACATCAAGGAAACAGGCTTATAATAGAAATCACCAAAATAAATTCCAACTACCGTACCATCTTCTGGAAGCTGTTTCAAAACTGCATCACACAACCCATCCTTTAGATGCCACAGGTCATTAATAGCAGCTACTAAATTAGATAGAATATTCTTAATCTTTTCTGAAGCCATGTCTCTATCTTCTTCCATCTGATTAGGGCAGCTGTTGAAAGAATTCTCAGTGGCACCTGTTGCTATAAGTCGACTAAGAAAAGCGTCCTCTGACATAGATGAACCTCCATCTGAGGAGAAATCCCAAATAGCATTTTCAGCACGTATTCTTCCACAAATCAATCCAGTTCATAATGGAATTGGTATAAGAGAAAAACATCCACATTTGAGAATGAAAACCAAAACAAATAAATAAGAATCATGAAATCAGAGCATAATGACTATAAGAAATGGAAAATATTTAGCAAAAAACTTAGTTACATTGTTCACCATCAAGAAGAGTAACAGAATGATAGAAAGAAAGAAAGCAACCAATGAGTAAGGAGATAATCCTCACCTTCCTCGTTCAATATGTGCCGATAACTTCCTCCACTGCCCATCTCCCTCACACAAATAGAACATGATTCCAGTTCAGTTAACACCTATTATAAAAACATGATATCAATTCCAATCAAGTACCATACATTATCGCATGTAGAAAAAGTTAAATATAATCCACTGTCCTTCCCTCCACTATTCTGGGAACAATAAGAAGTCAAATACAAATATCCCATAAAGAAAGAGACAAATAAAGCTAGTACCCCTTCCCAAGACTCTTTCACCACTTTTAATGTGGAATCATATGGCTGTTGCTTCTCCTTCAATTGAGAAAATTTATTCTCGAGAGCACGAGACTCAACCTTCTGAGCCTCTAATTTTTGAGTGAGCTTTTGGTTTTGAAATTGAAGAACTGCAGTATCAAGCTGTATCATAGAAAAAAAATTAGATTTCCAAAAAGAGTAAAGTAAAATACTCAACATTTAATAAAAAAGAAAAGAAAACGAAAGTGATATCATCCAGCTAATGGTAGAATTATTCATGGTAATATATCCTTTAAACTATTAAATCTTTTTTTAAGAAAGAATCCTCTAATCAAGTACATAAAGCTCAAATGAACGGCTAGAAGCCAAGCATAAGCGCAAGATATTACAGCTTTGTTTAATAGTTGGAGTTGCTTTTTTTCCAAAGTTTAATCCTGCTTTTACCAAATTAGAGTTTAGTGATACATTTATTATTTTTTTTTCAATTTTTTAAATTGAACATACTAAACATTAAGCTCTTTTGGGAAATCAAACATGAAATTGCTATCTCAAAGAAATAAATTTTGATTTCATGGAAATGCAAGGAAAGCAAATTGTGAGTTTAACTAATTACCAAATACACTGAAAAGATTGCATGGGATTAAAATTTATTAATATTCAAACAACTAATTTTTTTCCTTAAATGCAATGCAAACAAGTTATTCTCCTCATGATATCTTCAAAAACATTGTTAGCAAACATGGATATTACGTAGAACATCTTTCGTAACATTTTATGGAAGACAGAATCCCCAACACTAAACTGGCTTTTTGTAACGCAAACTCTTAACCACAGCAACTAAAAAAAAGCTTTTTCAAACATACATTTCTTCTCTTCATGCAACCAAACATAGCCTACATACTTGCAATGCTAGAAGTTCAGAACCAACGGTACATCAGAAGTATCCGACAAAGAAGTTCTCTCATATAATATTAGGGAGACAATTGGGTTACTGCAACCTCATGCAGGTAAAAACAATGTTTTTTAACTAGCTCCATGGGCACATGTCAAGAGTGAAAAATTTTCTAGATACTTGATCAAAATAGAGGGAAATGATTTGTTACCAATGACAAGATTTTTTTTTTAAATAAAAGTGTAAAATTTGTATTGAAGTAATGGTGCCAAGGGGGCACCATCCATGTACAAAAAATTTACACGTAAGTTGTTACCCATGGCAAGATACAAACTAAGAAATTTCCTTATCTACGGTTTCTTAATGTTCATACACCAGCCTATCCACCAATTAACAAGGAAATTTGGAGAAACTCCAATTCTAGATCAACATCACCATTTCTGTAATATCCAAATATATTGAAATCAGATGAAGAAAATGAAGAGCAAATTAAATTTGCAAACTAATAGTTCAGCATCAATCTCAAGTTTTTGACATAATATTCAATCCTGGACTATAACATTCGCAGGATTCCCACAGTTACAGGAAAAGAGGATTTCTAACAGCATCAATAATGGTTCTGAGCAAATATCATATCGAAG